TATCAAGTTTACGATAAAATATACGAATTTATTCCCTTTTAAAAAAGAATTATATTTGAACGATTGATAATATTGTTATATATTCAAAGAACTCAAAAATGGAGACTACTTTAACTAATCACCTAGTAATGAACAGCCAACTCTAATTTACATTACGAAATTCAAATACTTTTTTTCATAAGCATCTGTTTGATTTCTCTGGAATTGGTTTTAATTTTTATGTTTAACATTATGTTAGATTAGTTGATTATAAATAGAAATATTACAGTTAAAACTTTTTATATGAAAAACAAAAGAAATACGTATTAGTAATTCTATGTATTTAAATCATTAAATTCATAATATTTAAGTATAAATATTTATCAACAGCTATTTTTAGATTTATACAAATTTCGAAATATTTCTTAATATCAATTCAAAATATTACAGTCATCTTAGAAATTTTTATGAAGTATGCTTTAGAACATAGACGTTTGACAAAAAATGTATTTATTTAAAATTTAAACAATGTGTACCTTTATATTAATAATGTCTTCAAAAAATTTATAGATACATATTTGAAATACATAATATCACAAAAAATAGTTGTAATAAAACAACTAATTGGATGTTTTATTTCTTGTTTAATAAATATCTATACAAATTAAGCTGTAAAAACGTATTATTGTATATATTTCTTTAAAATCTATATAGTATTGTTATCATTAACTCGAATATGCCATTATTCTTTTTAAATGCGGAATGATCCCCTGGAGTGCTAAAAGATTATACACCAAATTCTTCTTTAGTACTCAATAATCTCTTTTTTGTAATAATTAAGAAATCAACATTGCTAGGAATTCTAATTATCTTTCCTATAAATTTTTACAATACAACTCTCATAAAGCACTCTTTGATATATAACAAAATATTATTACAACCTATGTTACTAAATAAAGAACCATGAATTTCTTACTATTCAACCAATAATAAATCATATGGATTTTTGAGTTTATTACATTGAAAATTTTGATTTTATAGATCACTCAAATAATAATTCACAATATATTGAATTGAAAATATTATAATTAGCAAATAATTTGGTTCAATTACATATTGTTTTAAATAATGAAAAATTATACAAGATAATTGATTAACTATGACATATTATAGTTAAACAATCACTCTGTATTTTGTGTCTGTAAAGTAAATTTTTCTCATTTATTATAAAAAAAAAATGTTTTTGGGCATATTTTGTCACAAGGTGTACTATCTCCATTAATTTTACTGACACTAGATGGAAATTTGATTTATAAAACATCAAAACCCAGAGAGTATTACGATAATGTACACTTCAAATATACTTTTTGAATATTCGACTTGACTATTTATCAAACAGAGAATAAACAAGAATTCATCTCAAACAGTTACCTTGTGTTCGTTTACAATTGAACCAAGAAAAAGTACTAGTGATTTAACAAATATGTTTAACGGTTATGCTGTCTTACAAAACAGAAATGCAATACTAACAATTTTTAATTAATGCCATCGTGCAAACTATTCTTAATCGATCCATTGCGCTATTTTTAATTATTTGAAATACAGCTAATATCATTCTTCTAAAAAAGATTCATTATAAGATCCAAAGGTGTTAGCATGACAATATATAAAGGGCTAAATCAATTTTTCCCTACACTAAAAAATAATTGTACGTACTATTGAGTATTCTTTTATTTTTATTTTAATAATAGGTACTGATTAAAAACTGAAAACAATAAACAAATTTTGAGTAAAGAGTAAAAATCAACTTATTACATTGATAAATTAATTTTACATTAATTTTCAATATTAGCTTGACAAATAAAAACTGTGTTTCTTTTCAATTTGCAAAATATTATATGTATCTTGAGCATAATTCAAATGAAATAACAAGTGGCTGCTATGAAATGTTATGATGTACAGTTAATACACCGTATGCCATTTACCAAAAACGATACAAGGCGGTAGTACAGGACCCATATTTGATACTTTTTTTTACTGACTTTATGAAACCCTTAAGAGCAATAGTGCAGAAAAAATAATAATATGTTAAATTTGATTACCCTCGGGATGAGTTCCGCTGCACCATCATAAATATGTTGTACGCGCTAGTAGCGTTTCACTTTCCCAGGGGAATGAATATTATTTTTTCCTCCTTATTCCTGAATAATGATTGTAGAGATATGGCACGGATTTCTTTGGATTTTAGGAAATGTATCGTAAGAAACTTTCTGTTCTCGTGTGTTGCACGATACTTTTCACTGGGGATAACGTATATGTGGGCTGGATTTTCTAAATTAGAGAACTCACTCTTATTATTATTCCCCCGTGTATCCATAGTTATGTACACTAAAATATAACAGTAGCTGTGCTTTTTGATTATGTCAAATTAATTATATTATGAAAACAAGAAGGGCGCCTGAATTATTTATATGAAAAATAATATGCACAATACAAATTTAAAAAAAAACATTTCCGATTAGAATTAATAAAACAATTCTTTTTTATTATTGAATTTTTCAATAAAATAAATTACAAAGAATAATTTTTTTACCAAAATATTTAAAAATATTAGAAAGGTTTTTCTCATAAGATTTGCAAATTATTATAATAAAACCCTACAATGTTCCAAACTTTATTAACTTTTCAATTTAATGTCCGAGTAAAAAAAGTATACTCATTTTATCAATGCCGTAAGCATATTATAATCAACTTAATATTTTAGCTCGTTAACGTTTGACTTCGTTAAACGTCTCTATCGTTTATTTAATTTTTTTCTAGACAGTTTTAATAATGCGATCTCCTCTTTACACCGAAAGCCACGTTTTTGTTATTTGTTTCAACACATTTTTATTGTAACTCCTCTTTCTATTTTCTAAGATAGATTGTTAACGACACAAAATCTATCTCACCAAAAGTTTAACGACACTTTAATCAAATATCATGTATCTTACAGCGGCAACCGTAAAAACGTGCTGCAATAATATCAAATACGACAATAAATCCGATTTAAAAACGAGTTGAGTGGATAGTCGGATAAAATAAAAAAAAAACTTAATTTATATTTGTGCTGAATTTAATGTACATGTGTGGGATTCAAAATGACCATATGAACAGTGTGCTTAGCTTCATTTAAAGCGCGAGTCTTATGTGATAAAATATAAAAATGTTTATGACGACGGACAAACGGATTGAATTGGATTATCAAGGGAGAACGAGAAAGTCGAGGGACAGTGTGGCGATATAGAAGGGATGAAGTTATTTTTCATTTAGCCCCTTTTTATGGCTCGCTGAGACTTAACTGATATTTCGGCACATTAAAACACCTCCTACTATCTTTACCCTTCCTCAACATACGCCTCCAAAACGAAGAGCAATACTAGGGACCATCCAAATCTGATTAAATTTCACATATAGATCAATATACTGTTCTTAGATGACTTTGGCTCACCTATCCCGAGATTCAATCTTAGTAAATGTTTAATATTTATAGGTACTTTAATACTATGTATAATAGTTTATTTATGCGTTCGTCGGCATAAAAATAAATGAAAACTTTGACACTTTCTTTCCTTTATAATATATTGTTAAATAGCTTTAAAAAAAACCCATTTAATTAAGCCCTTTACATTTAATTGATTACTTTATTCTTTTATATTACTTATTTTATTTGTTTTTTTTTTTTATATTTTAATGTTGTTCAAGACTGCCTTACAGCTTATAATAACACAGTTTAGTATACAATAAAATAAACATGAATGTTAGAGTGATGTGGAATTTTTTTCAGCAAATAATTTTATTCAAAATATTACCAATGTATCTTGTTAGAATTATGAAAAATGTTGATGCAATACAAATATTATTATGTGTAAAAATATTCTCGTGTTTGTAGAGTTCTATTATATGTAAAAAAAATAACTCTAATTTAATTACGACAGCTTAACAAAAACATGTTAACTAATAGCAACATTTACGTAGGATATAGCGAAATTGTGTGATTTAATTGCCAAGTTATACTTGTCAGAAAAAATAAATTGAATGAAATTATTAAAATGTATTTTACCGTCACGATACTACAGCAAATATTTTCCATAAAATGAAAACTATTAAAAGTTTTTTAACAAATGACAAAAAAAGTTTCTAGACTCAAAGAATTTAATAGCATCAATATATTTAAACACATTCCATTTTAAATTATTTTAAGGTACTCAAATAATATAAAGAGTGATTCATTTATCTTGAACGACTTAATTAATCGAAAAATAAAAATACCTTATAAGAGTGTAAACTTTAATTTTTTTAATGACAATACACACAGTCGATAAATAACTTATTTATTAGAAAATTATCTAATTAAGAAATTGACTAAACGAGATCAACTATTGGATCAGTATTTCGGAAGTTATTGACATATTTATATCAAGGTGAGAAGAAGAGTATGGCCGGGTAATGTTTAATTATAAAAATAGCAGCACTCACACTTCAACTCCAGTTATTAGTGTACAGTTATAGTAGTTCATATGTTTTTATCGATAATTCATATTCTTGATTAAATCATCATCTAATAAATAAACTAGTTAATTATGCGTATTACCACTTGAAAAATTAATGCATTTAAAGCATAAGAGATGAATATAAAAATTATTTTATGATTGATACATTGAGAAAATATTGAACTAAAAGAAACTAATAAAAAAAATATTAATATTATTTTTATTTTTTGATCAATAAAGTAGTTAAGATAAGGAAGTCATTCTGTAACTTTGAAAGTTCTTTTATGTTTTAATTAATTCTTCTTAAATTCTTTTAAATTATTATATTTATAATATTTAATTTTTGAGAGGATATGCAAATTTTAATCAAATTGAATAAGGTTAAATTAATAATGTGATTTTCTTAAATTTAGTAATATGTTTAAAGAAAGGTTGTTTTAAACTTATTATTTATATTTTAATAACTTGAATTCATTTTTTTATTTTTAGATTGAAGATCATAAATGGGTAAATCAGATGATCAAAAAGTCAAAATAATAATAAATATAACGAATTGGTAAGTTATTAAATGGTGTTATTAATAATACTAATACTTAATAATCGAGTTATACATAAAATTAAAAAAACTATACGAGTTTTTTATTGAAAAACAATAAAACATTCAAAAAGAAAAATACTGGCTAACTTATTAGCCTATGTATTACTAATATTGTATATATATATATACAGAGTGGGCCAGCATTCATCGACAACTTTAATAACTCTTGATCCAGTTAATTTTTATTGCTTTTTTTTTTTTTAGATAATATACCTGAGGGTTATAATAATAATTTAATTAATATAATTTTTATAATTAAATTTAAAAAAAATTAATTTTAAAAATGTTTAAAAGACATTCATAATAGTAATTTATTAGAATAGATTTTAAAAAATCAATTGATGAAAACAATTATTATTAATATTTGGTAGTTAATTTTCTGTAACATTTTTAATTTCATAAAAATTTTAATTCTTCTGTATTTATTCTACGGTATCAAACGCTGGCTATGTTATATAAAAAAGAACAGAAGTGAACACTATTTTTTCACACTAAGTATGATATGAGTATGGACTTATCCTTGAAAATTATTAACATTCCAATGACCGGCTTTAGTCAAATAAAAACACAAACTATACCTATTATTTAATAAGTACTTTTATCTCTTTAGAGATAAAACTAATTATCTTACTTTTCTCCTGTCCTTGTCCCAATATGTATTTCAGTGTATAATACCATAAAATAACACATGAAAATTCAAATTTTAAGATGATACAGATAATTTGCTACTAAATATTAATAAGATATTTTTTTACAAAAATATTTCTTAAAATCTACTCTATAAAATAGCTTGGATTTTTTTTTCATTTTATTTAAAATTTAAAAATAATTAATATTTTTAGTTAAATGTAAAAACATAATTATTGAGATATAATTATAGACCTAACGTATAACTTTTAATAAAAAAAAAAAATCAATTAAAAATATTAACTAGATTAAAAGTTATTTAAGTTGTCAGTGAATACTGGGCCACTCAGTATATATACTATCTTAGCTAAATTTTGTATGTACTTTATTATGAATAAATATTCCTTAATATAAATTTCGATTTAAAAAAAAAAAAAAAAAAATGCTTATTATATATTATAATCTAATTCAATATTAAACTTTATTGTTAGGTTTGTTAGCGAGATAATTTAAAATAATTTTAGGTAAACGCAACAATACTGCTGCGCGATATTCAGTTTACGAATATCATTGAGATTAGATATGAAATTATAATCACCAAATTTTCATTGGTAGTCCTTGTTAATGTATTAATATTGTATTTAATATTCGTTTTTTAAATTTTTTTAAGATATTTTATTTAACAAATTATAGTATATTTCATACATTTGATGAATAAAATTATAAAAATCATATGATAAACGAATTTAATAAACCTAATTATTAAAACAAAAATATATATACAATATTGATTTTTTTTAGTTACATATATTTCATGATTTATCAGCTAATAATTACTTTTAAAAATCACCCTTTATAACTTAAAGAAGTATTTACTAATTCTTTTTTAATAATAACATACGTTAGTTTATTTAACTAGTTTATAAAATATAAAATAATCTTATTAAGAAAACGACTAGTCGATAACCATATAGAACCAGTATTTTGGAAATAATTTTCATTTGTATACTTAAGCGAGGCAAACAATATTGTTGGAAAATAACTAGTGATAAATATAGTACCACCCACTCCTTACCTCAACATTACTATAAATTATTAATAACTTCTGAAATACTTAGTCAAAAGTTATTATCGAATATATGTATTTAAAATTAGAACTATATTAAATAATATTAGCCACAAGAGATCAATTTGTATTATATAATGAAATATGTAAGTTGTCATTTAAAGTTGATACCTCTTTAAGGATGATTCTAAAAATTAAAGTTTAAGTTATTAATTGATCAAAAAAAAATCTAATTTTTTTTCAATATTGTATTGATTTTAAGAGTAAACGAGTGGTTTTTGATAAAGCGATTACTCTATATATAATGGGTTGATGACATATATGTATATATGTGTGTAGTATTTCTAGTATTTTAGGCCCAGCAGATACTATACAAAAGGTGTTTGAACTTTACCCAGTTGATTGGTTTTTACTCCGGGGGCCACTATTTAGAGTCCACTCTCTCGTCCACCATAACTGACCCATAATTCCCTACTACTCCCTTCATTCCAATTACAAAACTGTTTTGGTACGTTTCCTACACACTAAATGCAACCAAAAGACAAACATTTTAATTTTAACAAAATATCCTCTCGCCACGATTGTCCCAAGTCATACCTTTATCACAGATAACATGAAATTGTTGACTGTAGCAATAGCAGACATATCCCAAAGTAGTAGTTTTATTGTACTGTCAAATATTGAACATTTTATCATAGATAATGTGTAATGTCAAATTAACTTTTGGAAACCAACATTATTTAGGTATCTTTTACCTAAATTGTTTTACACCATAAGACTATTTTTCGGATTCTAGATTATAAAACTTGTTTACAAATGACATTTAAATTAATTAGATATACTAAAATGTATAGAACGACAAATCTTTATGATTTATACAAATATTTATTTTTTATTATACTAAAAAGTTTTTAATCGACTGTTGTACTATAATTTTTACCTGTTTATTTTACTTATAAGTTTAAATAAAGACAATTATTCTTAAGTCTTTAAAATTATTCTCACAAAATGTTATTATTAAGAAAATTCAACGAACTCTTAAACAATATTTTAAATCGTGTTAAAATTATAAAACAAATTTTGTTGAAAAATAATTACAAATTTTGATTGCTCCTTTTTAGTTTCTCCTAAATATCACCAATATTTACGAAACCTTGTTAGATATTCTCTAATAGTTAAAATTATCAGTTCAGCCTAATAATTCATAGTTTGATTTAGTTCGAGTTCGGAGATAAAATTTTCGGGCATAAAACATTTTTATGCTTATATTATGTTAATTTTACTAAAAGATTTTTTACTAACAAAAATATATCACTTCTTGGGGAGAATTCCTTGGTTAAAATACTAAATTCTTTTGTTTTGAAAGTATTCTCTGAATTAAAAAAAACGTAACCTTTTAACATTAAGGATGTTTTTATTCAATAGTATTTAAAAACAGAAAAATTATTTGTTAAAGATTATACATGCATTTATCTTGTACTTTTGAACAACTCTTTATTCTTTTTAAAATGAATGAATGAACTGAAATCTAAAAACTGAATAAGATTTCTGACATTAAATTCACAACTTTTCTATAAAAATTAATTACTGTAAGTAAAAATTCGTAAATCAAAATTATATTGACTGAAAATTCACTGAAATAGATTTATTTAGCATTCATAACATGTATAATATTATTTTTTAACACTTACAAGAATGACATTATATTATTTGACCTGTGTAGGTCATCTGTGTTATGAGCCTAATAGTAAAATTCAGTTCTTTTAATCTCAGTTGACGGATTATCTCGTATACACAATATATAAATATTTTTATGACATAGAACTTTAATAGATTATAGTATAAAAAAAGTTTTTATCATTGTTACTTTAACATTATTAATCTTGGTATTAAACACTATAGTAACTTTAGTGCAAATATAAACTAAAATGACAAAAAAAGTATAAAAAAAAATGTATTCAAAGGGCAAATATTGAATATATTTGTCCTTGATATATAAACTACTTTAAATTATGTTTTAACTCTTAATTATAAATTTAATTAATCTGGGAATGTAAACTCAAAATTGAGTTCCCCTAAAAAATGTTAGTCCACTTTGCTTGCAAATGGTTGTTTAAATTTAGAAATAAATGTAGAAGAAAATATATTTTAAAGTTTTTTTATTCATTGACTAATATATTGATACATATAAACATATGAGAGTGCATCAAATTACACGTATAAATATTATATGTGTTTATATTAAAAAAAAAATTATTTAATTTAAAATATCGTTACCATATCACACATTTTAAGTATTTTATAGAGGATACTATCAAAATATAACCTTAACTAATAAACTTCATAAATTGTGCATTATGTAATAATATTAAAATAAGAAATATTTTTATTTCCAAATAGCTTTTCAAATAATTTCTTAAATTCTACACATTTATAATAGTAATGCATATAATTTATTTATAATTTAAGTTCTAAGTACATGCTTCTAGTGCCAAGTGTTACACATTATTTATTGTTCCGCAAAATGTTGCGTTAAAAATAATTTGTGCAATGATAACACCATTCCTTTAAAATGAAAAAATGAAAACCAGTTTTTGATAATTTAAAGTTTTCATAAGTATTAGTATATATGCCTTATAAACAGTGCTAAGAACTGAAATTATTTTTAGAGTAACTGTAGGATTTTAATTTTTATTATTTTAATAATTTCGGTTTCGGTAGGGTTTATGGTCTTTTAATTTATTGATATTTCGTTCAGGTTTCAGTTTTGATTAATAATGGTTTAAAACAATTTTTAATTAAATTTTAAAGTAATAAAAATGTTAATTTTTTTTTTTTTAATTATTTAGGATTTGCTCTCACAAAAAAACTCTCCAAATTCTGAGATATACACTATTGTAGTATAAACAACATATTAAATTAGAAATTAAATTATATGATAATACAATCTATATCTCTGTTTAAACCTTAGATTTTTCGAAGTATGTTAACTTACATAATATCATAAATTTATATTCAAATCATTAGTATGTCTATGACTTCAATAATTTTTTGATAGTAAAAAATAATGACATAAAATACTAAATTGAATATAAAATCGTTTATTTTTATTTTAGCAATTTATAATTTCTCTTGCATGGACAAATATTTTACAGAAAATAAGTAGAAATATTTATGTTACTAAATGTTATTAATGTTTGATATAAATAAACTTATTATTTATATCATTTTCGATGGAATTTATATTGATTCCAAATAACTTGAA